TAGAATCACATTTGGTTTTGTTTGTTTTTTAGTATTGGTGATTGAATCCAAAACCTTTGCACTAAACTACATACCCAGCCCCTTTTTCATTTTTTATTTGGAGACAGAATCTGGCTAAGTAGCTAAGTTGTCCAGGCTTGGCTTGAATTTGTGACCTTTCTGCCTCTAACTCTCACAGGGTCCTTGTGGTCTTGATTTGCATTTCCTTAATAAGTAATGCTGTTAAACACTTTTGCAAGTGCTTTTTGGCTATTTATGCGTATTTTTTTGTGAACTGTTTAATCAGATTATTTATTTATTTATTTATTTTATTTTTGGTACCTGGAATTGAACTCATGACCTTGAGCTTGTGAGACAGGCAACGAACCACTGAGCTAAAACCCAGCCTTTTTCACTTGTTTTTAAAGACAGGGTCTCATTGGGTTTCCTAGGTCCTGTACTCATGGACTCAAGTGGTCCTCCGGCCTCACCCTCCCAAGTCGCTGGGACAATATATTTCTTTCCCATTTTTGAATTGGGTTATTTACCTTCCTATTACTATGTTGTAAGAAGTCTATATATACTTCATACTTGATCTGTATCAGATTTGTAAATCATTTCTCCCACTGTATAGATTATCTTTTTAGTTTCTTGATGTTGTCCTTTGACCAACAAAAATTTTAAATCTTTTTTTTTTTTTGAGACAGGGTCTTACTACGTAGTTGAGATTGAACTGGAACTCACTATGTAGCCCAGGTTGGTTGGTCTCGAACTCACAGCAATCTTCCTGCCTCAGCCTCCTGAGTGCTGGGATTACAGGTGTGCACCACCACACCCAGAAAAATTTTTAAATCTGCCAAAGTCTAAATTATCTTCTGTTTTTTTTCTTTGTTTCTTGTGTTTTGGGCATCATATAGGAATCCACTGCCAAATCTAAGATCATGAAGATTTATCTTTTTTTTTAATTGAGTTTATTGGTACATTTTAGATATACAGTACAGTTACATTCATTACTGGGATCTTGTACCTTTACATGACAGGTCTTGGTTCTTATTTTTTCACCTTGTCCCTGCCCTCCCTTCACCCCCTCCTCCCCTCCCCATTTACAAACACTTTGTTTCCATCTTTTCATTTTCTCACATTCCTTTTTTTTCCCTTATTACCTTTCCCCTACCACTCAAGTCTTCCCACTGAGCTACATCACCTGCTCTTTTGATTTTTCTTTGTTTTGAGACAGGGTCTTTTTAAATCATTAAACAACTTTACAAGACCCTATCTCAAAATAAAAAATAAAAAGGGGTCTGGGGATTTAGCTCAGTGGCACCACACCTGCCTCGCAAGTGCAAGGTCCTGAGTTCAATCCCCAGTACCACAAAGAAAAAGGGGATTGTGGTGGTGATGGTGGTTAGGGAAGCAGCTCAGTGCAAAGGCACTGAGTTCATTTCCCAGTATCACATAAAAACAAACAAAAGAGAGCCATCATGGCACTTATCTATCATAATGGTATTATACGGAATAGTTTACCGCTCTAGAAATCCTCTTTTCGGCCTCTCCCCTAAACTCTGACAATCACTAACCCTTTTATTGTCTCCATACTTTTTCCAGAGTGTCATACACTTGGAGTCTTACAACATGTGCTTGTTATAGTTTGAATCTTAAATGTCTCAAAAGGATCCAATGTTAAGTAGTTTGTTTGTTTATTTTTGAGACACAGCCTCACTATGTAGTCTGGGCTGGCCTGGACCTCATCACTATGCAGTCCATGTTGGCCTCAAACTCACAGTGATCCCCCTGCCTCAGCCTCCTGAGTTCTCCCTACAGGAAAATACACCCGCCTCAAAGGACCCTATGTTAAAGGCTTAGTTCCCAGAGAGGTGCTGTTGAGAGGTAGTGGAAACTTTAGGTATTGGGGTTTAGTGGGAGGGAGAATGTCTGGTTGTCAGGGGCAGGCTCTTGAAGAGCATTGTAGGATTCCAGTCCTTTCTTCCTTGCTCATTTTGCTCCTTGGCTACAAGGTTAATGCTTTTGCTCCACTACATAAAATGCTACCTTGGCCAATTAATCGTGGAACTTTCTGGGGACATTTAAGATCCAGACCATAACACACACACACACACACACACACACACACACACACACACACACACCCTGAGTTCAGCTGGGTGTGGTGGTGCATGTCTGCAATCCCAGCACTTTGAGATGCTGAAGCAGGAGGATCACAAGTTCAAGGTTAGGCTGGGCTACTTAACAAGACCCTGACTCAAACTAAGAATTTTTAAAAGGGCTACAGATATAACTCATTATGATGGTCCTGGGTTCATTTCCCAGTAATGAGGAAAGACAGTCTACCACAGAGCTACATCCCAAGCCTTCCATATTAACTATTTTTTTTAGTGTACAATTCAGTGCCATTAAATAAATTCAGACTGTTCTGCACTACCCATCTCCAGAACTTTTCGTCTAAAACTGAAACTGTACCCATAAAACAGTAACTCCCCATTCTCCCTCCCACCACCCATGGGCAACTACCATTTTTCTACTTCCTGTCTCTCTGAATTTGACTACTTTATATATCTCATACAAGTGGAATTATATGGTATGTATCCTTTGTGACTGGCATAGTTAACAATATAGTCCAGGTTTACCCATGTTGTAGCACAATCAGCATTTCCTTCCTGTTTAAGGATGATGTGATGTTGTATGTAAAAAACACATTCAGTTTGTCCATTCATTCATCAAGGGGCACTTGTAACTTCCTGGTTATTGAAAGTAATACTGATGTATACACACACACACACACACACACACATGTATAATGCCATATATATATACATATGGCAGCAATATGGTAATTTTATTCTACTTCTAATTTTTTAAAAATACCATCTTGTGCAAAGATTTTAATAGGCTCTCCAGGTGATGCATGCTGATGCATGCTACAGTTTGAGAATCGCTATCTTGATATTTTGTCTTCCTTTGCATTAAGATTGACTGCGATCCACCTCATGACTGAGATCACAGGAAGAATGAAGGAGAGAAAGCAAAGGCAAGCAATGCTCATTTAAGTGATACAGAATTTGCCAAACTCACTTCTGCTGATATTGCTCTGGCAGGATTTAATCTCACGGTCACACTTCCATGTAAGAGTAACACCGCTAAATGTATTATAGTGGACGAAGGTATAAATGGGTTGGGGAGACCACAGTGGACTGCCAAGGTTTCTTGCTCTTCACCTTCGGCACCACTTTCCTCCCAGGAACTTACACCAAAAATCTGGAGGTCATCTCTGACCATTTCCCCCCTTTCCCTTCACACCCAATCATTAAAACTGGTCGGTTCTCTTTAAATTCCCACTATTTCTTCTTTAGGTCAGGTTATCTACTACCTTTCTTATATCATTAATACGGGCTTCTCCATCTACAGCCAAACTATTCTTCAAACTGCAGCCAGAAGTATTCCTCTTAAAATGTTTTTTTTTTCTAAGCTAAAATCTTCTAAAATGCAGATTTATGTTCCCCAAACCCATTTATGTCTTCATACATCTCTAGTATTTACACCTATCTCTAGTACTTTTTTTTTTTTTTGAGACAGCGTCTCACTCTGTAGTTCAGGCTGTTCTCAAACTCACAGTGATCCTCCCGTCTCAGCCTCCTGAGTGCTGGAATTACAGGCATGCACCACCATGCCCAGCTTCCCTAGCTTTATATTAATCTAATGCTAGATTAATCAAGGTAATGGTGTAGAATCTGGTCCTGATAACTCTAAATCACACTTTCGTCACAATACTGAGTTCAATGGATTTAAATGTAAATTTGCCTACTAGAATGAATTTAAATAAGGAATAAATTTAACTTTTATAACGGCCACTCAAAAGAAAAAAAAACTCCTAAGGGTGAGTGGAGAGTAAGGTTTATTTTTTATTTTCTTTTTAAACTAACAGCTTCAACACTTTCTAAAACAGTACTTACATAGTCTAAAAGCCACATGAGCTGGTCATCCGTACTCCCATATAATTACAGCAATCTTGTCCTTTTTGTTTTTCTGTATCTCAAGTGACCAGCACATAGGAGATGCTAATATTTGTTGAATAAGTAAATTCTTCCAGAGTTTTTGAGACTACATCATGAAATGAAAATTCAAATTCCTACAGGAGATGGGCAGGCATGTATGTGATAGATAAGGCCAGTTAGGACCCATAATGAATGAAACAGTATAAATCCCACTTCAAGAGTACTTTCTTTAGCTAGCTTCGTATAATAATCTCCTTATCGTTCTATTATACCTTTACAAAACGCAAAATCAACTTCTTCACTTCAAATGTGCCACAGTTTTTAGTTCGTTTAGCTGTTAAGTGTAGGTTGGACTCTTCAAAGTGAGATCGAATCCCAGGATTGACCTCATAACAGCCCTCTTCCTAAGAGTAAACATTTTCTCCAGCACTGGATCTTATTGCAGAGATTTACTATGAATTCGTTAGCGTGATTTTGGAAGGATCTCAGTTCCACAAGCTGCTCCTTCACCGCAGGCCCGACTAGGTGGGAGAGCGAACGCGACCCAGGCATCTCCAGGCACAAAGCACACTTCCGCGGACGGCGAGCCTGGGAGAGGGTGCCCGCAGGAGCCCAGGACCCGGGTGGGCTGCGGACAGCGAAGACCGCCGAAGAACCCCCCAGTCAGTCCCGGGTGCTCAGGGTCTCCAGTGCACTACTCAGTCACCCTCCAGCCCTGGACCTGGTGCTGCAATCAAGTCCGAGTTCCGGGAAAAAGTGTAAACAGCGACCTACGCTCCCAAGTACGCCAGAAGCCGCTGAGAGACCGATTGTCCCCGTAAGGACTGAGGAGAAGGGCGGGGCCGGGGTGTCTTTCACAGCGCTTGCGCAAAGACCGGGTTTCCAGGGCTCCGAATGAGACCGCCGGGGGGAAGCCGAGGGGAGGAGACAAACGCCGAGCAACAGGGGCCCACTGTGTGCGCAGGCGCACTCAGCGATCTCTGGCTTCTTAGAACCTGTTCCCTTGAGGGCTTTGGGGGGCGGGGCTGGAGGCGGGGCCAGGACGGGGCCAACTGGGAGCGGAAGAGTCCGAGTTCTTCTCCAGGGCCGCCGGCCGCCGCAGTTTTCGCCAAGTCCTGTGATCTGAGCAAGTCATGTTGCCCAACACCGGGTAAGGGAATGGGGGCGAGACTCGGCATGGTGGAGTGCGCGGCTAGGTGGGGTCGGCTCGGCGAAGGGAGGGTCACGGAGGCCGGGGCGGCGCGCTCGGGAACCCTGGCCCGTGCCGGACCTTGTGTACTGTGGATCTTCAGTGTCGCGTGGAAAGTACCTGAAGTTATGTTGATACTGTAACCAGGAGGGCAAAAGTGTAAAATCCTCGTCCGCGGATAACGCGCCAGTCAAGGGTAGGTTTCCCCGCCGCTCCCGTGATAGCCTGATTTTGGCTCTGGCGGTGGCTGCTCCTCTGGCTGGAGGGCAAATTCTAGGTGAAAGGTCACTGGGACTTCTGGGGACCTTAGCGATGCCGCTGGTTCTAAGCGCTTGATTGCAGGGTAACAAAATAGTTTCAAATTGCTAACAAATTGAACTTTTCTTAAAATATGAGAAAATATGGGTATTTTTGGGGAGGAATTTTTTTCCACTTAAAAAAATTTCAAGTGCGTCAAAGTACACGTAACAAAATTTGCTGTCTTAACCGTGATTAAGTGCACGGTTTAGGAGTATCAGGTGCATTACTGTACAACCAACCCCTGCAACTTTTCATCTTTGTAAAACCGAAACCTATACCCTTGAAACAACGTCTCTCATTCTCCTTTAATCTCTAGACCCTGGCCACTACCGTTCTACTTTTCATGCCCTTAACCTTCTCACTCTTGTAGGCTGAGGCAGGTGGACTGGAAGTTGGACTCCAGCCTGGGAAAAGTAGGGATTTAGCAAGGCGTTGACTCAGAAAACAAAAACTGAAAAATGGGGTGGAGATGCAGCTCAGTCCCAAAGTTCTTGGTTCAGCCCCCAGTAGGAGGATGGGGAAGTTTGGGTAGCTTGAGCTGAGTTACATGTTGGTTCCATAATTAGCTTGAAGCATGCAGGCACATAGCTAAAATATATTTAAAAGGAGTATAGAGTAAAAAGTGAGTTTTCTCACCCTTAAAATTTACATCTCCAGTTACTTCCTGGCATGTTTTTGTTTTTTGTACTTATAGGCATATTTTGTTTGGCTTGGTTTGGTTTGATTTGGTTTGGTTTGGTTTTTTTGAGACAGGGTCTCACTATGTAGTTGAGACTGACCTGGAACTCACTGTGTAGCCCAGGCTGCAGGCTG